TGACGGGGGGGGGGTGTGGGGGGGGGGGGGGGGGGGAGGCTTCAGCACAGTGCCCTCAAACACTGGATGCATTTGGCTGGTTTCTGGACAGTGGAATCAGAGAGATTTCTTTGGGGGAGGAGGGAGAGAGAGACAGTTTGAAGCCTTCCTCCCTGAGAGCTAGGGGAAGGGAGAGGCTGTTTGCAGGACACACACACAAAAAGTACCCTTCTCCCTCCCAGCTTGCAGTGTTCAGAGCCACACAGGGCCCCCATAGCTGTTGCATATGCACAGAAGGCAGGGATGGCCCAGTCCTGAGGCAAAAATTAACCCTTGGAATGGACACTGCCATCACTCACAAGGCAAGACTTCATTGTGAGGACTGATTCCAGGAGGCAAGCTCTAATGGCAGTTACACAATAGTAGAGCATGCCTAATGTCCAACATCTAAATACCCCCGTGACCTTGGAGACCAAACAATCCAGTCTCAGTCCTGTACAATGGTATTTTCCATCTCCTTTGCAGCGGTCTCTGATGCTGGTATGTGCTGAGAAATCCTTGTATAGACTAGCTCTGATCCCTTTGTTGCTGGGTCAGCCTCAGCTTACTAGCTGTGTGCTGTGGTTCCAATCCACAAGCTAAGTAAGTGGTCATGGTCCATGTCTTTGTTTTGGAGTGACAGTCCTGCCCTCCAGTGGGAGTCAGCCTCTCATGATTTGCTTCTCTCTCTTCTGGATTGATAATCCTCTTCAGTGAGGAACGTGAAGTCAATAATGGACCCAATATCTCTGGGAGCTGGGCAGCTGTTGCTGAGCACTGAGGAGGGACACACCTCTAGACAATCAGGGCTTTCCAGCAAGCCTTTTCATCACTCTTGCCCAGGGTAGTTTGTAGATTTGGAAGCTAGCCCTTGGAAACAGCTTTGCTTGGTGTTCAGATCTGTAGAAGGGGGGGAATAAAAAATTACTCAGACATTGATTTCCAGTCCTATTTCTCCACCTTTGACTCATAACACTGTAGGCCTGGATGGGACCTCGAGTGTTGCACTGATGCAGGACAAAGTAAAGCTAAATCATACAAGACAGGTGTTTGTCTAATCTATTCATAAAACTCTCCAAAGATAGAAATGCTACACACTCCCATAGAAGCCTGGTCTGGAAGTTAACTACCCTTACAGGTGGAAAAAAATTTCTAGCTTCTAATGTAAAGTCATTATTTCTTGTCAAAGCTTTAGTGGACATGGAGAACAATTTATCACCTTCCTTTTTAAATCAGACCTTAACCCATTTGAAGATTTTTACAAAAGATAAGATGGATTTATTTGGGGGTTTTGGTTTCCAAGTGCTAAACCTCTAGAGCTGAGCCCTCCCAGAGTTGAATTGGTTCAGCAACTGTGTTTCTCTGCTGAGGGGCAGTAACCCCAACTCTGTGCCTTGACAGGGGGAGACCAGAACTTCTGGTTCTTTTTAAATCAGACCTTAACCCATTTGAAGATTTTTACAAAAGATAAGATGGATTTATTTGGGGGTTTTGGTTTCCAAGTGCTAAACCTCTAGAGCTGAGCCCTCCCAGAGTTGAATTGGTTCAGCAACTGTGTTTCTCTGCTGAGGGGCAGTAACCCCAACTCTGTGCCTTGACAGGGGGAGACCAGAACTTCTGGTTC